GGATGGGCCCGTGGCTGGATTGGTAAAGGGCAGAGAGCTCCAGTCCGACTCAGACGCCAGCAAGGTGGAGGTGGAGTACTGGTTTGGGCTGGTATCATCAAAGATGAGCTTGTGGGGCCTTTTCGGGTTGAGGATGGAGTCAAGCTCAACTCCCAGTCCTACTGCCAGTTTCTGGAAGACACCTTCTTCAAGCAGTGGTACAGGAAGAAGTCTGCATCCTTCAAGAAAAACATGATTTTCATGCAGGACAATGCTCCATCACACGCGTCCAAGTACTCCACAGCGTGGCTGGCAAGAAAGGGTATAAAAGAAGAAAAACTAATGACATGGCCTCCTTGTTCACCTGATCTGAACCCCATTGAGAACCTGTGGTCCATCATCAAATGTGAGATTTACAAGGAGGGAAAACAGTACACCTCTCTGAACAGTGTCTGGGAGGCTGTGGTTGCTGCTGCACGCAATGTTGATGGTGAACAGATCAAAACACTGACAGAATCCATGGATGGCAGGCTTTTGAGTGTCCTTGCAAAGAAAGGTGGCTATATTGGTCGCTGATTTGTTTTTGTTTTGTTTTTGAATGTCAGAAATGTATATTTGTGAATGTGGAGATGTTATATTGGTTTCACTGGTAAAAATAAATAATTGAAATGGGTATATATTTGTTTTTTGTTAAGTTGCCTAATAATTATGCACAGTAATAGTCACCTGCACACACAGATATCCCCCTAAAATAGCTAAAACTAAAAACAAACTAAAAACTACTTCCAAAAACATTCAGCTTTGATATTAATGAGTTTTTTGGGTTCATTGAGAACATGGTTGTTGTTCAATAATAAAATTATTCCTCAAAAATACAACTTGCCTAATAATTCTGCACCCCGATATACACAAAATCACAAACAAGTTTTATTATATTATACAAAGAATCCCTGAAGAAGGAGACCACTGAGTAGATTTCCGGATGTATTGAAGGAGATGCTGAGTGTTGGTGCGACTGGAGACGATGTCGGGTAAAGTGCAGGCAGATGATCCTCTGCGGTGACTCCTACAGGTAGAAGCTGAAAGCACAAGAGGAAAAGTCGCTCCTCGGCGACATTTGGGAGATAAAGATGGCGAACCAAAGGCTGGAGACGAGGAGGAGCGAACATGCCTGGAAGTGCATCACTGTTCATTCTGCTGTGCGTCTGTGTCGGAGCTGCTGCCGCTGAAGGTGAGCTCTGAATTTGACCACACTGAGAAATATGCAACAGCATTATAAACAGCGCGATATCAACAAAAAAAGAAAAAGAAAAAAATTGTCACAAGTATAGATTGTTGTGATTCTTGTTTCTGAAAATGAAATTTCATTTTCTTTTTTACTTCTTCTTTTCCAGTTTTTCGACATAAATGTCCCACCAGCATCTTTGTTTCTCTGAACGCGATCTCGATCTGATCTTTTTCATGTTGAACTGTACAGGAAATCAGCGTTTTCTTCGTTTAAATGTTGAGTTCATTAACTAAGGGTTGTTTACATCACGCTTTTTTCCCCAGCCCCCTAGCGCACCGCCGCCCTGCGAGGGGTTGGTGTTGGAAAGCATTCATCGCTCAGATTTCGGCACTTTGTTAAAATAATATTACCGATAATTATTTTTTTGAGTTCCGACGGTAATCTCGGTAAACACGAATAGTTCAACAGGAATACAGAGCAGGGAGGATGGGGATGAGGTAAAGCTGCTCAATTGCAGTAAATCATAATCATAATTAGTTTGGTGAACACTCTAATTGCGATTATTTAACATCTAACACAACAGACACGTCAGCGCTCACAGTTGAGTCTGTTCTTCTATTGCGAAAGTGACGGTAAAAACTCAACTCACAGAGATGACGTGTACACAGGCGAGCCCCGCTCTTTACCTTTACTTAACTGGTACAAGGAAGCGCCACTGTGTACCTGTCACTTCGTTCTTCTGTTTGATTGGCTGTTTAAGCTCAGGGGCGGAGGGAGGGGGAATTCAATTAGAGATTATTTCATTGCCTTTTGTCTCTGATCGTTTGTGAACTCTCTGCTCTGTGTTGTTTCTTCTGTCAGGCCAGAAAAACATCACAGCAGCCACTCGACAGAGCACCACTTTGTCATGCCAAGCTCCAAACAGCAGCATCATAGTGGTAGAGTGGAGCAGAGCCGACCTGAGAGAAGAATATGTCTTTTTGTACCGAGATGATCTGTTTGTTCCAGATAACCAGCATCGATCTTTTAAGAACCGGGTGGATCTGCAGGACAGACAGATGAAGGATGGAGACGTGTCTTTGATTCTGAAGGATGTGACGATTAATGATGCTGGAACATACGAGTGTCAAGTTGCCCAGAGAGAACCAAACCAAGAGATAGCCAATTTAAAGATCACCAACACATCCAAACTCAGCGTTGTCCTCCAGGTGAGTGAGTAGAGTTGAGTGTGTGTGTGATCAGAGGTGAAGCTGCTTCCTGGTTGTTGATGTTTGTTTCTAAAGATGTTGTTGATGAGACTTTGTAGAAAGCAGCTGGTCTGAGTGATGTGATCAGAGTGCAGTAGATAATGTCTGACAGCAGTTTGAAGAGGAAATGGATTCTGTTCTGTTCTTCACTCATCACCTACCTGACAGCTGACACCTCACACCTGTTTCTCACCTGCAGGTCAGACAGGAGGACACACAGAGAGATGTGGTCATCTGTTGGCTGCTCATTGGTTTTCTGTCTATT